AGGGTTGTGGGGGGCAATGTGCAGAAAGGGGTGGTGGATGAATGGTGAAAGAAGATTTTTCTTTCGGTAGATGGTTGGCAGTTTTGGAAAAATGTGTGTGTGTGTGTGTGTTCAGCAGTGTTTGTGCTTCTTTGGCGATGAGATGAGAAACCAGACACTGTTTATACGGTGGTTGGGAATGGGAAGTAGTTTGGTCGAAAGGTGGTGGTGGGTGTTAACCAGTGTTTGTGATGGCAATCCCTTTAATAAACACTCCTTCAAAAAAAAATAAAATACTTTTGGCTTTTGGAAGTTTTTTTGTAGGATTTTTTTTTTGGCCAAAAATATGATGATTGGTTTAGGTACTCATTTTTTGGGCAAATTCTATTTTCATCATACTACCTAAGAAACGCAAGTATGTTTTCGTTCGAAATTTGCCGCTCCAAGACTGATGAAACTAATACCCCCCCCCCCCCCCCCCCCCCTTTTTTTTTTTTTAACTAATACCCCTTTTGTTTAGTGCTATAGGTGGAATTTTGGCGTATCATGTTAATTTTTGTGCAAATCAATTTATATATTGCTGATGAGAAACCAAACACTTGTTAACGCACCTTTTGCCAAAGAAGCGCAAACTGTTGAGGGGACCGACAGCTTAACCAGAAGATTGAGGCTTAACCCAAGGAGATTGGTTCAGCCTCAGTCTTCTGCTTAAGCTGTCGGTTGTCCAGAAGTTTGAGGCGGATTTTGTAAACTGTTCTATTCAGTTAGGGGATTCTGCAGACTGTTTTGGAGGATTCAGCCTCCTGATGAGTAGGTAGGTGAAACTCCGACGAAACAGTTTGCCACAGCCCCTCGTTTGTTGTTGTTGTCCTCTTCTCCCTCCCTCTCTGCCTACGGTTTACCGTCGGCAGCTCTGTTTGACTATATATAAGAGGTTCTGAACAGGGGGGGAGTTGTAAGGAAGAAGATTAAAAATGAATTAAGTTTTTCTTGTTTCTGTTTTTCGCTTTGGCGCTCTGATATCATGTGACAATATATATATATATATATATATACATTCTGAGATCCTTCATCATGTCTTGAAAACTCTTCACCTTGGAATGAGAAAAACGTTCCATTGTTGTCGTCACAATTTGCCACAAAAAAATTCTGGCATGGGCGGTCAGGGATTGTGGTAAAGTGGAGGGCTCAATTTTTTGCGTGTTCATGTTTTCTTTTCAATGGTGGTGGGTATTTTGGGGAAATGGAGGGGGGGGAGGAATTTGGGGA